ATATATATATATATATTGGTAATGTCTTTGTCTGGTTTTGGAATTAGGATAATGGTGGCCTTGTAAAATGAGTTTGGGAAACTTTCTTGAATTTTTTGGAATAGTTTGAGAAGAATAGCCATTAATTCTTGTTTGAGTGTTTGGTAAAATTCACCAATGAAGCTATCTGATCCAGGATTTTTGTTTCTTGGAAGTTTTTTGATTACTGGTTCAATTTTTTTGTGGTAATTGGTTGGTTCAAATTTTCTGTTTCTTCTTGGTTCAGTCTTGGAAGATGGTATGTTTTTAGAAATGTATCTATTTCTTCCAAATTGTCCAATTTGTTGGCATATAATTGTCATAGCATTTTCTTATAATTCTTTGTATTTCTGTGGAAGCTGTTGTCACTTTTGTTTCATTACCGATTTTATTTGGGTCTTATCGCTTTTTTTTCTTGATGAAAATGGTTAAAGGTTTATCAATTTCGTTTATCTTTACAGAAAAGCAGCTCTTAGTTTCATTAATCTTTTGTGTTATTTTTCTAGACTTTATTTCATTTATTTTCCTCTGATCTTAATCATTTTCTTTTTTTTTTTACTCACTTTGGTTTTTGTTTGCTGTTTGTTTTCTAGTTCTTTTAAGTTTAAGATTAGATTGTTAGAGCTTTGTCTTATTTCTTGAAGTAGGCTTGTATTACTATGAACTTCCTTCTTAGGACTATTTTTGCTGTCCCATAGATTTTAAGTCATCATGTTTTCATATTTATTTGTCTCTAGGTATTTTTTGATTTCTTCTTTGAACTCAATGTTAACTCATTTACTGTTTAGTATTTAGCATTTTTTTTCTTGTAGTGATTTCTCGTTTCATACCATTGTGGTAGGAGAAGACACTTGATATGACTTCAACCTTATTAAATTTGTTGAGACTTGTTTTATTGCCTAACATGTGGTTTATCTTGGCAAATGTTTAATGTACACTAAAGAAGAATGTTTGTTCTGCTGCTTTGGTGTTCTGCTGCTGTGATCTAAAAATTTAATTAAATCCATCTAGTCTAGTGTGTTATTTAATGCTCTGTTTCCTTATTGATTTTGTGTCTGGAAGATCTAACTACAATGGAGTATTAAAGTCCTCTACTATGACTGTATTGCTGTCAATCTCTCCCTTTATGTCAGTCAGTATTTGCTTTATATATTTAGGTGCTCCTATGTTGGATGCATATATGTTTAGTAGGGTTATGTTCTCTTATTTTATTGATCCATTTATCATTATGTAATGTCCTTCTTCGTCTCTTATTATAGACTTTGTTTTAAAGTTTATTTTTGTCTGATAAAGTATTGCTACTTCCAACTTTTTTATTTCTATTTGCATAAAATATCTTTTTTCGTCCCTATACTTTCAGTCTCTGTGTGTCATTTGATCAGCGGTATGTCTGGGTCTTGTTCACTTATTCATTCAGCTTCCCTATGTCTTTTTATTACAGCATTTAATGCATTTACATTTAAGGTGATTATTGATAGATACCTATTTATTGCCATTTTAAAATTCTATTTATAGTTTTACCCTTTTCTTCTTAAGGAATTTCCTTTAAGTGTTTTTTGTGTGAGTTGTGTTATAGCTAAGCCTTGATTACTGTTAGCACATTAGTGAGTGGGACTGACTCTCAGGTTGACTGGCTGTGAAGACTGGCCACACTCACAGAGTATGAGCTGCTATGTGGAGGCTAGTCCCAAGGAATAGGATTTGCCCCAGCAGGCTCGCGTACCTGTTGGAGCCACTCTGTGTGCCACTTGTGAGGCTAGTCAGGTGGTGATGTGTTGTGGTCTGATGCCAGCCTTTGTATGTGTTTGTCCTGTGGCCCCTTGGGAGGGGCTTCCATGTAGATCAAGGTCAGCCACTGCCTTTGACAACTCAGGGCTACCTGGGAAGAGCTACAAAGCAATCTACATGTTGTCACTTCCGGTGCTGGATCTGGAGGCAAGTGGAAGAGACTAAACTGAGACCTGAGGCCTGTTGCCATCAGTAGTGGGCCTAGGACAGCTTAGTATAAGGTCTAGGGAACCCTAAGACCTGAGGCTGCCTGCCAGTTGCCTGTTAGGCTTAGCTGTTGAGGAGCCTTTGGGTGGAACACGAGTTGGATGGTGTGGAACCCAAGGAGTCACTGGAGTAAGTGAGCAGTTTTTGCTTAGCCATTGAAGATTCAGGTTTTGTGTCAGTGCTGAGTCCTCTTGCAAAAGAAAAAGGCTTAGATTGCAGCAAAGCCAGCTGCCACCCTCCTTGAGGCCACAGATCCCTGAAATTTGTTCAAGAGACACTGCAACTCAGGCTGGCACTAGCTTCCCACTACCAAATGCGTCTCCTGAGATGTGTGTGTCACTCATAGGCCACACACTGAGGACTGCTGACTGCTGTCCAATGCATCACCTACTGAGTTCTCAGGGTGGGGACAGTTGCAAGGCAATGAATCTGCTGTGGGCAATTCATGGGCTGGGTAGGATGGGGTCACAAGGAGCCATGGGATGGAGCAGGCTAATCCCATCAGTCAATGCAGATTCAGAATTTGTGTGTTGGGGCAGGCTCAACACAGGATAAGATGGCACCCACCTACAGACTGTCCTGAAATAAGATCTGACAAAGGGCCAATGGTAGCTATCCCTCCAGCCCTAGCCCCACTGCCACACACATCAGTCTTTTTCTGTATGTCTCTTGCGCCTCCCCAGCTGTTGACCCTTTGCCAGAACCCAGAGTGTGTGCCTGCAGGTAAGTGAGTCTGTGCGCAGGCACTTTAAGGAAACATCTGATTTTTCACATTCCTTCTATCTTACCCAAATGATCACTAAGTTTTACAGCCAGGTTTATTCGAACTTCTGTTCCTGGCATGGGTACCCTGGACTGGTGAGCCCCTGCAAGGGGCTGGGACCCCTCTCTTCTTCATGAGGACCTTTTCAGCTTTAATATTCCTCTCAGTGCTCAACCACCATGCAGACAGTCGAGGCAGTCGTTTTGCATCTCCATCCTTCCTGTTGGTCTGGATGTTATTTTTTCTTTACCTCTTCAGTTGTAGGTCATATGTTCAGTTAGTCTTCAGATGATTCTCAAAGTTTACTGTTTTATAATGTGGTTGATATTTTAATATGGTCATGAGAGGAGGCAAACCCCACATTTACCTAGCCTGCCGTCTTGACCTTCCTTAAGCAGTATCGTGTGTGTATGTAAATGTCTAATCCAAAATAATATCAAATCTTTTTCCTATTGTCCAGTGTAGAAGTTTCTTGCTCCCCAGTGGACAGCCTGCAGTGGGCTGGTAAAAGATGAACAATTGTTATAGAGATAGGTACTGAAATAATAAGAGTAACTATTTCAAATTAAATATAAATATACAGATTGAGGTTGATTACATATATGAATACTGAAGCAATTTATATGTATGTTAATCTGATATCCACTACTAATATTTTAAATAAACCAACTTGAATGAGGAAGGTCACAGGACACTAAATATAGCAAAAAATCTCAATTTATAAGAGAAACATTGACTGGTTCTGAAATCTACACCCTAATAAGCTTGATAGTGATTCTTAGCAACATTTTAGAATATATTAAACAAATTAAACAGATTACGTAAAACAACAGTATGTTAATAATTTCTAATAACTCATTCTTCACAAATAAATTCATGTTCATCGCACTGATTTCAAATATAAAATGTTAGGTATATTCATAAAGTCACATATCTTCATATATATAGTTTTATGTAATAATTTAATTAAAAATATGTTTTGATTTTAACATTGTTTTGTAATCATGAACTGAGGAAATTATGTACTGAAAATGCAATTCGATTATAGCATTAGAGACAGCAGCTTGGAGAACCATATGTCACTATGAATGGCACAAAGAAATCAAAGACTAGTGTTTCTGCTATTGGTGCTTAAGATGTTAAAATACTTAGAAACAAGAATATTTAGTCTCAAAAACCTGGAAAATGCCATTATTAAGTTAAAGGTTAGTTGAATTAATGTCTGAATAGACTTCTTATTTGAGGTTAGGGCATCAATTGAAGGAAAATATATATACACATACACATCTTAGAATCAGAATGAGAACATCTGAGAGAATTTCTGATAACTACAATTAACCTGAATCCCAAACTACAGCACGTATTTATAGTCAGATGAGCTGCCCCCTCTGGACTCATATAATAAGGGTTTTCCTTCCTTGATTGACAAGGGAAGACTCCATTTCACTGTTTTTTCCAACTCCTAGAGGTTGCTCTCATTCCATCCCCCTCTGTATTCAATGCCAGCAACATAAGACCCAGTGGCTGCTCACACTTTCTTCTGCTGTGTCACTATGCTGGTGTGTCTTCTGCTTCTGTCTTCTCCCTTTTAAGGACCTTTTGTTTGCACTGTGCTCACCTGGACAACCAAGGATGCTCTCCTCACCTCAAGATTCTTAATTTAGTCACATTTGCAAAGTCCCCTTTGTCAAATTTTAAAAAGCAGATTCAAACTTAAATATCTTTGGGGTCCTTTATTATGCCTTCAACACAATAATTTCCTATTATTAAAGAAAAAAACTAAAGATTTAGGACTATAAGAATATTAAAGTAGATGTATTAATGTAGCCTATTATCTTTTTTGCACTCATCAAATGGCAAACAAACAAACAAACAAACAAAAAACTTTCTTATTCCAGTTACATGAGATAACACATTGGTGAGCATCATGTTGTATTATAAAATGCCAATCTAAATTACTGTTCATTATTTGGTAAATCTGGTAGCCTTCTCATGATTTGTAAGACATTAGTAGCCTACAATGTCTTCTATGTAACTCAACTCAGTAATTGTGACTGAACTGCAAAAAAATGGTACCAGGAATGGTTGGAAACAACAAACTCCCCAAAGTATGAGAATCTGCTCTTAGTCATATCACCTGGTTTGGTTTAGAGGTAAAAAGAATCCCATCTGAATCAAAATATGAGACACAAGTGGTCCACATCACATATAAAAAAAAGGTTTATTAAGAAAGTCCCAGTCAAGATGGTAGAGTAGGTGACACTGTACTCTCATCAAATCACTGTACCACATCAAATTACAACTAAACTACAGAACAGCAATCACTGGAAGTCACCTGAAGTCTACCTGAACAGAAGTCCTAGAACTGGGGACACACAGAAGGAGGGGCAGAAATGTGGAACAGGCTGGTCCCACAACCACACATAGCAGCTGAGAATCAGGAGGAAATCTCGGCTATGAAAAACCCCCCAAAAGAACAAAGGATCCAGCCACACACAGGGCTGCACAGACCAGGGTTCCAGTGCTGGAAAGAGAAGTCTTCATAGCTTCTGGTGAAAAACAAGAGAGATTGTGGCTAAGATGGAGGAGTGAAAAACTCACTCACTATTAGCTCCAGTGCTGAGAAAGCAGCTCAAAGGCACCAAGGACATACAAGGAGGAACTGAGTTGTCTGGCTTCAGAGTGAGAGCTGGAGGGGCGGCTTTTTCCCAGACAGAAGTGCTGGCAGAAGCTATTGTCCCTTTGCTGAGCCCTGACACCTCCCAGTGTGCAGACCCAGGTGGCTGCCATATTTGAGTCTCCATCAATCTGACTGACACTGGTCTATTCAGACTGGTGATTCCCTGAGAGTCTACCCCACCCAGTTTGCATGCCTACCCAAACCACTTCCTCCGTATAAATGACCTGTCTTGGTTCATGCTGTAAATTTTCTTAAAATCTCTCAAAGTTTTTGCAAAACCCAAACAAGCAACATTGGACCTCAGTGTGTACCATACCTCTTGTTAAGCAGCCCCAAGCCCAGACTAGCAGCAGCTGGCTTTGGTTTGTGGCGCAACCTATTGAGGCACCCCTAAGTCCAGCATGGGTAGTAGCCATTGGTGAATGGTTTGATGACTCTTGCCAAGTGGCCTTAAGCAGGGCACAGGCTATGGCTAAATTTGGCCTGTAGGGGAACCCATGTAAGGAGTCCTAGGGCCAACATGCACAGTGGCTGACTCCTTACCAAGCTGGAGTGTGACCTAGGCCTGTATCCAAGGACAACATACCCAAAGAACTGACTGGGAAGGCATAAGAGCCCTGCTAAAGTAAATCTTACTTCATGGGGTCAACCTTATGAACTGGGCAGTTCTCACAACCAGTCAGTCTGAGGTTTGATCCCTCCCATTGACATGCAAACAGCAAAGCTCAACTACAACAGGAGGGCACACACAACCCACACATGGGATATACCCTGAGCACCCAGCTCAGGTGACCAGGGAAGACTGTGCCACTGGGCCCCAAAAAACATCTACTACATTAAGCCACTGTATTAAGACTGGAGGACATAGCGGCCCTATCCAATACATAGAAACAAATTAGGGAGGCAGCCAAAATGGGGAAACAATGAAACATGTCCCAATTCAAGAAGAGAACAAAGCTCCAGAAAAAGAACTCAACGACATAAAGACAGGCAATTTACCAGATGCGGAATTCAAAACACTTGTTATAAAGATGCTCAATGAACTGAGGGGAAAATAGAAGAACTCAGTGAGAACTTTAGCAAAGAGATAGAAAATATAAAAATAGACATAGAAAACTTAAAAAAGAATTAGTCAGAAATGAAGACTACAATAACTGAAATGAAGAATACCTTATGAGAAAGTAACAGTAAATCAGAAAAGGAGGATTAAATCAGTGATTTAGAAAATAAAGTAGGAGTAAACAATCAGAAAAGCAACCAGAAAAAATAATCTAAAAAAAAGAATTTTAAGGGACCTGTGAGAGAACATCAAGTGTACCATTATTTACATAATAGGGGTACCAGAGGGAGAAGAGAGAGTGCAAGGATTAAAAGCTTATTTCAAGGAATAATGACTGACAACTTCCCTAACCTGGCAAAGGAATAGACATACAAGCCCAGGAAGGACAGAGAGTCCAAACAAGATGAACCCAAAGAGGCCCACATCAAGACACATCATCATTAAAATGCCAAAAGTGAAAGACAGAGAATCTCAAAAGCAGCAAGAGAAAAGAAGTTAGTTACCTACAAGGGAGCTCCCATAAGACTGTCAGTTGGTTTCTCAACAGAAATTTTGTAGACTAGAATAGATTGGCACAAAATACTCAAAGTGGTAAAAAGCAAAGACCTATAACCAAGATTACTCTGCCCAGCAAAACTATCATTTAGAATTGAAGGACAAATAGAGTTTACCAGATAAGAAAAAGCTAAAGCAGTTCATCATCACCAAGCCACTACTACAAAAAAAAGTTATAGAGATTTCTTTTAATATGAAGAAGAAAGATTAAAAAAAAATGAATAATAAAGTGACAATAACTACATATCAATCAAGAAGTACTTTTAATGTAAATGGATAAGTGCTCCAATCAAAAAATAGAGTGGCTGAGTGGATAAGAAAACAAGACCTTTACATATGCTGCTTATGAGAGACTCACTTCAGTTTGAAAGGCACACACAGACTGAAAGTAAAGAGATAGAAAAAATGTTTCACATAAATGGAAACAAGAAAATAAGGTATCAATATTTATATCAAACAAAGTAGACTTTAAAACAAAGGCTATGTGAAGGACCTATATAAAGAAAACTATAAGGCCCTATTAAAGAAATCGAAGAAGATACAAAGAAATAGAAAGATATTCTGTGTTCTTAGATTGGAAGAATCAACAGAGTTAAAATGACCATATTACTTAAAGCATTATACAGATTTAATGCAATCCCCATCAAAATCCCAATGGCATTTTTTTAAGAAATAGAACAAAAAATCATCAGATTTGTATGGAAGCACAAAAGACCTCGAACTGCCAAAGCCATCCTAAGAAAAAAGAACGAGACTGGAGGCATCACTCTGCCCAACTTCAAATT